TAATGCAAAAATGGTAACAGGCATCGAAAGCTCTCAATTAATAACTGTGGAAGTTCATCTAGAACACTAAGTTGAGGGCACGCAATAAGCTAATATGCTATAAGCAATAAGCTTGAAATGCGAAGAAGAAGAAGAAGAAGAAGATTTGTTTTTATTTTTTTTTTTTTATTATAGTCACTTTAACACTCTTGGGTCATTCGTGACTTGTCCGGGGGTGAGATTTGAACTCGTGACTTTGGAGTGAGAGGTATGGATGTTAACCACTACGCCGGGGTCGCCCCCATTACCGAAGAAGAACAAATAAAAAACGGGAAGAGTTAAGATAATTGATGACGATGTTCACATTTGTTCCGTCCACTAGCGGTCCTACGTCAAGCTTCCGTTCGTGCCCCTAGGCATAGACCCTTCTACTTTTTTTTAACGAGATGGCTATTGACTTATTGATGTATAGTTTCAATACTTTTCATGTTTAGTTTATGTTACATCATTGGGGCCCATGACGCCTGTTGATGTGTAGTCATAAATACATAAAAAAATTAAATACAAATCATCAGAAATCCCATCGCGCGAATCGCCTGCACGGTATTTCATTTTTCATTTTGATTACTTGGACTGGCTCAATTCATCTTTGATCTGGTCAAGGTATTCATCATTGGGCAGACCATTCAAGACAACCATGACAGACGTTCGTTTTTGGTGTCGTAAGTGAAAAAATTGTGTTGCTTCTCAGTAAGATACTTGAGAAGAGGTTTGAATCCGTCCAAGGTTTCATCCACTACACGGCATTCACCCCGACGGCCAATTTGAAGTGATCATAGTTATCACACTAGGGGGGACCTTTTTCTTCTTGGCATTAAGCCGGGAATGTTTAATGGAATTTTGCCGGGATGATGGATTGTCTGTGAGTTATATAATTTACCAAATCAACGGATGCAGCCACGAGCGATCTTAACGGTTGTGTAGAAATAGAACCGTCGTCGCGATCAGTGACAAGGGACAAACCCTTGTTATCGTTATTTTTAAATTGTTTACTGTTAGCCTTAAGAATAAATGTTGTACTAGTGAATAAATCATGTAGTGTCGTTTTCAAACTTAAATAAATTCGTGTATTGTGTCAAGACTGTGTTTGATTGCTGCATGTGAAGAAGGATCTGCCGATGACAAGGATACGGGAAGGATAAGGATCACGGAAGGAAAGGACGATTCGCTCAATAAGGAAGGAGGTACGTTATCTGGTGAAGGTCGTGTGGAGGTCGAATCCAAATCGGTCGGACAGGTCTCCGACATGAGCTGGTCCTTCGAGCCGGATCTCCACTACCTGCGGACTTCGGAACGGCTGAATCTCGACGTTTCGACCACTGATCACATCTCGGTGCCAATAAACGTCCATCAAAAGGCCATTCTGGGACAAAGGATTCGTGCCATTTCATAGTGCCCTGAATGGAAGAGTCGCCATTTCATCGGTGCATGAATAGATCCTGTGGCCATTCAAATTGCATGAAAAGGAGTCAGCAGCAATCGTCTTGCTCATCAATAGTCCTTTCGAATCGCACCCAAGCTATCCGCCATCGTCCTCTTCTGTGAAAGACATCAGCTACACCAACCTTTATCAGCGAGTGGGAAAACGGTCTTCGAAGGCTACATCGGTTGTTCATCAGGATTGTAAAATAACCAGAGCGTTTTCTACTACCATTCCAGGTATGTTAGAACTTGTATATGTCTAGCTGAAGTTCTAGCCTATTCCCCACTAACGCCAATCCTACCATTTGTGCATTTTTAATTTCGATGAGGACCTACTATCGACGGACACTACATTGGCATTGGTGAATCGGTTTGCAAAGAATCGATTCACAACGCTTCCTTCGATCGGTGCATGGTGCATGCAATCCAATGCGATTCGGTTGGACCTGCAACGACGACACACCGACGATTCATTTGTGACGACGGAGGACACCACGATTGCTTCGAGCTCGGGCATTGCAGTGGCCATTTGCGGTCAGGTAAACAGAATAATTACTCTTATAAGTATATGCCCAGCCGAAGCTGGATTTTCGATACCACACCAATACATTATTACCCTTTCGATGCTCATTGGGCTGTTTCGAGTCAACTCATTTATGAACGCAATCCCTGAGGTTTCACTGTGGTTTTCGGACTGAAACTAATTCGTCAGCACAATCTTTAGTGCTCCAGGTGAGGCAAAGTATATGTCCTACCGGAGCAGGCTTATTTGTGAAACTACATTGGTCATTCTTTCTCCGCTGTACTGGATTTGAACTTTCGAGACGATTTCGTACTGTACTACTCGCTGCATACAAACTTAAGAGACGATTTCGATGCATTTTGAGCTCGGCTGCTGCTACATGCTACTGTTTCATAGGTGAGCTGAGCAGTATATGTCTAGCCGAAGATTCAATTTTGTATACTACATTCGCTTCTTCACTCCCTCGCATTTCACTGGTTTGAATCTGAATCTGAGGTTACTGATCGAACGTTGGAGGTGTGTCGATTTGGATTTGCTGATTGGCTTCGGAGGTGCCACTGTCTCTTCACACAGGTGAGGTTGAATGGTATATACCCAGCCGGAGTAGATAAATTTGGATACTACATCTACGTTTTCTCTCGCTTTTTTGAACTGCCAGTGGAGTAACTTGTTCATCAACTGACATTCGCTCGAGTTCCTGTACTGTGACGACAGCAATTATGGCAACAAAACCCGTAACCAGGAATGCCGAATCTCTGAAGGTTTTAACATCCAAACTCAAAGGGCTCAAATTATCATTAAGCAATATTTGTCAGTATGTTAAGAACTTCAAGGAGGGAACCTCTGCCAATCAGATTAATGTTCGTATTGAGCGATTAGATATACTGTGGGTACAAATTAGCGAAACAATCTTAAACATCCAAGTGCATGAGGAATATGCAGAGCAAGATGGTAGTCAAAGGGAGCAGTTGGAGATTGAAAATCGTTACTACGATGCGAAATCGTTTCTGGTTAAAAAGGTTGACGGATTGCAGGAAGGGTCTTCGTCAAACCAAACAGTGCGAACTGCAGGTGCCACTCTACATGGCGTAATGGATCATGTTCGTCTACCTCAAATCCAGTTGCAATATTTTGATGGTAGTATCGACGATTGGTTGAGTTTTAGAGACCTCTACACATCTCTGATTCACGAAAAACCCGATCTACCTGGATGTAGAGAAACTTCATCACCTCAAAGGGTGCTTAGCAGGCGAGGCTAAGGCACTGATTGATCCGCTAAGGATCACGAAAGACAATTATCAAGTTGCTTGGGACACGTTGCTAAAACGTTACAACAACAACAAACTTTTGAAGAAGAAGCAAGTTCAAGCGCTCATCAAGCTGTCTTTGCTTAGTAAGGAATCTATCACGGATCTCCAGAAATTGGTGGATGGTTTCGACCGTGTGATTCAGACGTTAGACCAAATCATCGAACCAGCCGATTATAAAGATTTGTGGCTGGTAGAGCTGCTGAGCACTCGTCTCGATCCTGCCACACGACGAGGATGGGAAGAACATTCGTCTACGAAGCAGCAAGACACCCTAAAGGATCTGCAGGATTTTCTACAACGCAGAATGCAGATTCTTGAAGCCTTACCTGTGAAGGTGGAAACGAAGGTTGAACAGTTCCAACAACTAAAAAGAAAGCCGTTCTCTACAAAGGTCAGCCATAATGCCGTACAAGGAAACAACGCTAAGTGTACTTCTTGCGCGGAGATTCATGGACTGCATACTTGTCCAGCCTTCTTGAAGATGCCACTGACCAGTAAAGAATCCCTCATACGCACGCAATCGTCACAAACGTGGTCATCTTGCTCGAGAGTGTTCATCAAAGTTTTCCTGTCGGCATTGTAACGGTCGGCACCATTCGTTGCTGTGCTACAAGGGAGAAGAAAGTTCCAGCAAACAAGGATCATCCGGAAGAGCAAAACCATCGGGTAAAGGCGCTAAGCAGGACGACAGTGTTGCAAACTCCAAGGCAGCGAATGCCTCAGCGGTTGAATCTACTTCTTCAAACGCGGAACAGTGTCTCTTATCACAGGTTCTTCTGGCTACAGCTGTCGTTGCGATCGAGGACGATCGAGGTTCTCGCTATCCAGCACGTGCACTGTTGGACTCAGGGTCCGAGTGTAACTTCATTTCTGAAAATCTGTGCCAGTTGATGAATGTCTCCAGTCAGAAGGCCAACATATCGATTCTTGGTATCGGAAAGTCGAATACGAAGGCAACTCGAAAAATCAAGGCTGTCGTCAGATCTCGGATTTCATCGTATTCTCGATCGATGGAATTTGTCGTCCTATCGACAGCTTGTCTACCAACTTCTACAGTTCAGGCAAATGGATGGAACATACCGGTAGAGATCGAACTGACGGATCCGGAGTTCTTCCGGTCAAGAAAGATTGACTTGGTTCTGGACATCCAAGCTTTCTTCAGCTACTTCCCGTCTGGAAGGGAGATACAGCTGGGCAAGGAGATAATGGCACGGTTTTGGTCCTGCGAGGAAGTAGGAGCCGTCAATAAATACTCTCCAGAAGAAGCGCACTGTGAGGAGCAGTTCCAGCGTACAGTTAGGCGGGAATCCGACGGGCGATACACAGTAGCCCTCTCAAAGAACAACGAAGTTTTGGTGGAACTGGGTGAATCCCGAGACATCGCATTAAGACGGCTGCGAGCTGTGGAGCGAAGATTGGCAAGCGATCCAAGTCTACAGAAGTAGTATTGTGATTTCATGACCGAATACCTCGAGCTCGGTCACATGCGAAGATTGGACGACAGCGAAGAGCATGCAGTTAAACGGTGTTTTCTGCCACATCACCCCGTTATCAAAGAGTCTAGTACCACGACCAAGGTGAGGGTGGTATTCGACGCATCCTGTAAAACATCTTCAGGAATATCCCTAAACGACGCGTTGTATGCTGGACCAATAGTTCAACAATGCTTAAGGTCAATCGTTCTGCGTAGTCGAGTTCGTCAGGTGATGGTCGTAGCAGACGTCGAAAAGATGTACCGACAGTTCTTGAGGAGTCTGGATGACACACCGCTTCAATGCATACTCTGGACAGCACCTGATGGAAAGGTAGTGGCGTACGAGTTACTAACGGTGACATATGGTACGAAGTCCGCGTCGTATCTGGCCACTCGTGCGTTTCAACAACTAGCGAACTACGAACGAAAGCAGTTTCCATTAGCGGCACTTACGATCGAAGAAGACGTTTACATGGACGATGTTATATCTGGAGCAGACAACGTCGAAGCGGCGATCGAATTAAGGAGACAAATCGACACAATGATGATCAGCGGAGGATTAAAACTACGTAAGTGGGCATCGAACTGCCCAGACGTACTCAAGGGCATTCCAACTGAGAATCTAGCACTTCCAGATTCGAATGGAATCGATTGGGACCAAGATGCTGAAGTAAAAACATTAGGATCAACTTGGCTTCCTAACGTAGACTGCTTCCGGTTCAAATTTACCATTCCGCCACTCACGCCATTCCAAATCCTCACGAAGCGACAATTGTTGGCTTTCATCGCAAGACTTTTCGACCCGCTGGGCCTGCTCGGTGCAACGATCACAGCGGCAAAGATCTTCATGCAACGGCTCTGGTGCTTGAAGAACGAACAAGGCAACAATCTACAATGGGATGGGATGTTGTAGAGATGAACCAGCCTAAGGCTGAAAGTCTCGTTAATAAAGGAAAAAAAAATATACTGCCTGAAACGGTGGGTAAGGAATGACGAACATTCCATGAGCAAATCCCTTCGCTCAACGATGTGTGGTTTCCAAGGTGTGTGATTGCTCCAGGTTCGGTATCCGTAGAATTCCACTGCTTTTCAGATGCCTCGATTGTCGCTTATGGTGTTACAATCTATGCTCGGAGTCAAGAACAAAATGATACGGCTTCGGTGCACCTTTTGACTTCGAAAACCACGGTTGGAGCTTTGTGGCGCACTCCTGGCAGCTCAACTCTAGGAAAAGGTAGCAGAATCGCTGAAGGTAGAAGTTAGCGCTCATTTCTGGACAGATTCAACTTGCGTACTCCACTGGATCAGGTCACCAGCAGGAACATGGACAACCTTCGTTGCCAATAGAGTTGCGAAAATTCAAGGACTGACTGAACGGAGACAATGGAGGCAAGTTCCGGGAACTACGGACCCTGCTGATCTAATATACCGTGGAATTTTGCCAAACAACATTCTAGAAAACAATCTGTGGTGGCATGGGCCTCCCAACAAACAATTTTAGCTGCAAATCAGCTTATAAAGACAAAAATTAGCTGCATAAGGCAATTTTTTGCTGTATAAGCTAGTCTGCAGCTAAAATTGTTAGTTGGGCTACCTGGTTAAAGGATTCGCTGGAGGAATGGCCGAAGGCGTCAGAAAACCGAACTGAGAAGGATTTGGAGAGACGACGCAATGCGATGGTTTGTGTTTCGTCGAAGAAATCTGGGCTCATTTCGGATTATTTATCAAAATTTTCCTCATTTACGAAATTGATTCGGATGACCGCATACTGGTTGCGCTTCCTGAACAACTTGCGGTGCCATGCAACAGAAAAATTATCAGCATGTCTAACAACAAACGAGTTGCATCACGCGGAACGGTCGATCATTCTGGTAGTTCAAGCGGAATCGTTCTCGGACGAGATCCGAAAGCTGTCGTCTGGTGTATCAGTGGTTCGTAATTCTCCGTTGCGGTGGTTCAATCCACAATTTGATGAAAACGGCATCCTATGGGTCGATGGAAGACTGGCTCACTCCGAGGAATCGCAGCAAACAAAGCACCCGATTGTTCTTCCAGCTAGGCACAAGTTCACGGAGCTGGTAATTTGTCACTATCATCAGCAATACCTTTACGCTGGGGTGCAAGTACTCTTAGGTACTGTTCGACAACGATACTGGCTACTTGGAGGCAGAAATCTAGCGAGGAAGATCGTCCAAAACCTTCCATCATTCAGCTGCTCGATTCATTGTTTTCGAAGACTGGCGTTGATTATTTCGGCCCCATATACCTGCGAGCCGGTCGAGGACGAAAACCAACCAAGGCATACGTTGCACTTTTCGTGTGTATGGCCACGAAAGCCGTCCATATGGAGCTGGTGCAAGATTTGTCGACGGAATGGTTCATGCAAGCCTTATGAAGATTCTTTGTGCGTCGAGGGCGTTGCACAGACGTTTATTCGGACAACGGTATCAATTTCGTAGGAGCGCGAAACCAGATTCAGGAGTTGTTTGCGTTGCTAAAAAACTTAAACTTGGTAAACATTGTCATCATCCGTGAGCATATCAAATTGATTGTTCAAATGAACTTCATCAGAAGGAGGATCAAGAGATTGCCCTTTTCTTTTGCGTTTAGGTGCCATGGCGACAGAAGAAAGTTTCTTCAGCGGATCCAAGCAGATTACTATGAGAATCCAAAGGATCGAAGTGGAATTTTCCAAGTCGATATCCAAGCTGGATTACCTCGAGTAGGGTCCAAACAACGATCGAAAAGGAATAAACACTGTTCTATCCCACCTTGCATTTTTCACTGTCGTCGTTCAGAAATAAGAATTTGGAAGCAATAATAACCAATGTACTGTAATGTACTTTTCTGAAATCCTCAGAATTTCAATAGTTCCCAGTTTCTTGAAGTACATGCAACTGCTTTGAGGATTTTGAAACAGCTCAGGGAAGTTTCCTTAACATACTAGACTTTCCTGAACTTCTCTGAACTCCCCAAAAATTCTCACAACTGTTCTGGAATTCTAGGTAGTTCCTGAAGTTTAATGAATTTCCCAGAAGTTCTTGAAACTTTCTGTAATTTCCCTGAAGCTTGTGGAACTGTCCTAAGATTCTTTAATCTTCCCTGAAGTTCTCGGAACTTCCCTGGAATTCTTCTGAATTCATAGTACTGCACTGGACTTAATAAAACAGTCCTTAGAATCCCCAAGCTTCATTGTCAACCTCTGAAGTTCGGAAGAACTTTCAAATTTTTTTTTAAGTTTTGACATCGCAGATGTTTTCTGGGGGCGTCTCAAATTTTCCCAATATTTTTTTGGAAATTAATGGAACTGCAATCATCTAACCTGAAGGTCCCCCAGCTTTTCTTGAAGATCTTGGAATTTCCCTGAAGTTCTCGGATCTGCCCTATAATTTTCTGACTTCTACAAAGGTGCCAGAGTTCTCTTGACTTAAGTTTTCAGAACCTTATTTTATCTAGTTCGTTTATTTGAAAGGCTCAATCGTGCGAAAGCGAATACCACCAACATTGAAAAATCCATATTTCACATCACCGTTCCTGCAAGTCTTATATAATGAACCCATCGTAAGCTCCAAGTATTTTCCAGTCATCAACGAATACAAATGATGAACAAATGACGGGTGCCCACTTCCGTCGGACCGCCTAATTTACTGCATGTTAATTCGGCGTTTTAATGCTCATTGGATTGTTTTATTGGCTCTCGTAAATTGAATTAGACAGCCCGACATGTGTCGACCCCTGTCCCAAAAAGCCTAAACAACGACGCACACCTTGCCCATCGAAAAAACCGTGATAATTAATGCCCCTTTCGGACGCGTGCGTTGTCGCTGTCCCCCTGGCATAAGGCATTTAGGCATTCATTCCGCTGGATGTTTGTTTTTGTTTTGGTTTTTCGGGTGAAAGCGCAGCGGTATCGGTTTCCGATAATCAAGTCGTTAGCTGCCTAATCGATAAATTAATAAACTACATTTTTTATCGGCGCCTCCTGTGGCAGCACTAGCCTTCGAGGTCAGACCCCCATTTGAAGTGGGTCCCCGAGATCGTTATCAAAAGATGGGGAAAAATTAACCCCTTTTCCAATCAACCCAAACACGACCGCGAAAAGGGGGGTAATGGTTGTTGGGTGATTAAATTGAAATCAAGCTGAAACTTTGTCTCTCGTAACGATCTCGTGGTTCTTACGCAACGCGCTGCGGCGCAATGACAAGTGGCGGACCCATCCTCCCTGTCATTATGACAGCTGACGGGCGGAGAATGCCGCAGAACTCGTTTCGCACTTTATTAAAATTAAACAATGGCACAACGGTACCTTCTGCTGGACCGGGAGCAACTCCGAGAGGGCACAACGGTTGGAAAATTATTGATTAAACAAATATCACTTGGCCCCCGGGTTTCTTGCGGGGGCACGCTGGCAGCTGAGGTGGTGCGATAATGTCTAGGTGGCATATCGATCCGATCCGTATATAATTAGTGCCAATTATTTGTGTCAGTTTTGCCAGTCACCACCGCAGTCGACACCGACCGACCGGGACGAAGAAGGGTGGGCACCGTAAGCGAAACCGAATCACTTGTCACCGAAATAAATCTGCATAAATTGATCTCTTGAGATGGGGAGCGATTAATTGTGGATGGTACTACTAAATGAATCTCGTTTGATAATGTCAACGCTCAGGTGTATGCAAATTTCCTATTTTTGTATCGGTAGTAACACAATTCGTTTAAATTTTATGAATCAATCACGCCGTAACTGAGGAAAAATATCCCTTCGAATCCGATCCTATCACTCCGATAATGGAACGAAATCGTCGGAATAATCATCATGATATTATCGCTTTGCAACCAGTTTGGCTCAGTTGCGCTCGATGTCTTTAATTTTATATTTCACAAGTCATTAATTACCGGGTTGACCGCTGCTTCAAGCCCACCATATGAATAAAAAGGTCCTCCGTACAGTGACACAAAACGTTTCAACCGCAGTCGGCGACGCCCGATGGTAATCAGTTGGCACTAGCAGAGGGACAGTCAGTCGTTCCGAAAAAAAAAAATGTAAAAAATAGTGTCACCCCCCTTGAACAGAATGTGTAAATTTTATGCAACTTATCTCACCTGTGAGCGGAGCAAGTTGAAGCACGATTGTTATTACCGTGCAAAACTGAAAACACTGCAAAATTCATGAATTAGTATTCCGTGGTGCATAATTAGTCGATAAATTTTAACGATTCGTCAAGACATAAATTAACTGCCTGTCCGGTGGGGTTTGTTTTGCGACTTCTATATTTACCAACAGTGGGTGCATAGTTTCGAGCTGAAAGTGACAGTTACAATCACCCGCATAATTTATACCGGCTGAGGGCTCTTTGAAGCAAAGTACGAATGCGCAAGGCATGATGCAATGGTTTACTTGAGGGAAAATTTCGGCGCTGAAAGGTTCCACGTGCCCTTTTCGTTGCAGATTGATGAGATGATAATCATGAGCATCGAAGGTGTTTTTTTGCCATCATAACTCAATTCACGGTGACATTTTATCACGCTTTGCCTAGGAGGCATGTGGATTGTTTAGTTCACATTACCAAAATTAAAAAAAAATCGCATTTTAACTCGTATTTAGGAATGCTCTAAGAGGAAGAGGTGACAATCGGCTTCTTCCTCTTTTATTTCTATCTCTATATCTATCTTTATCTATCTCTATTTCTGTCTTACGCACATGAAATCGGCCAATCAGGAGCTGGTTCACGTTTGACAGAAAAGTGGTTCATTTTCGCTCCCGTATTGTCACCTCTTCTCTTAGGGAATGCTGTAATCCAATCACTTAGAACACCTTCACCGCGGGAAGCTAAACGGTGATCAATGCCCATTATTGCAACCCATGGGTTCTAACAACTCGGTTATCAAATTTGTTCGGTTTTAGTTGTGGTA